AAAAAATCCAAACAAATAAAAATAACTTCATTCCCCTCCACTCACCATTAGATTTCCAACTATAGAACAAACACCAGCTCCCTCTAATGATTTGAAACATAGACACATTCCATTATATGAAACCTACTATCAGCATCTTCGCCAAACAGACAAGTTAAGGTCATATATATAAGAGCCTGCAGGTTCATTGCCAAATAGTCTCACTCATCAAACCGAACCAAGGGAAAATCGAAAGCAGAGAAATTTCTTTCACAGCCACCACAGTAAAAGTTGAATTTGAAACCGTACAAGCAAAAACAAACTATTGTAGGGTCAGTGACCACCACAGGTTTATAATTCTCGTCAATCATCATATGACTCGCAACCGACCAAGTCTTTCAATTTACAAAAAAGAAAGCTAATAAAACTTCACTACGTGTCATGTAAAGAAGATTAGGCAAGATCATTAACATGGTCTAAAACTCAAAGTAATTTCTCCATAGATACCCGTTTGCTAGGAACAGGCCTTATGCGAAGCTCATTACATGCATTTGTAATAATTGTCTGCATCTGCGACCTGCAAAGCAACAAACACTTAAACCAACATTCCATACTCCAACTTCTAATTGGAGAAACATCTTCATATACTACATAGAAAAATAAGAAAAAAAAGTGAAATCAGTTTCTTTGTAAATTGAAATTAGATTATACACGAGCTAATCTGTAGAAGTCATTTCTCATTAACTTCTAAAAAAATAAGATTTTTAATTCAAGCATAAGCTAGTTTAAGCTTATATAGAAAGTAGTTTCACTTTTGCTATTTTTCCTACAACGAAACTCACTCATGAACTACCTGAAGAAGCGAATGTTTCTGGGCAACGGGACACCCAATTCATCGCTAACAGCAACAATACCATCCTTCAAGGTAATGCTGTTAATGACATTGTTTGGAAAATATTTGTTGTACTGCAACGACAACGTTTTGTCGCACACCACCAGCTCCCAAATCTTCTTCCCTCTGGCGTCGAGAATGGGCCTGGAGCAGAAGTCAAGTTCCCAGTCTGTTATGGTGGCAGGGTCGGTTTCTGGGTCAAGGTATCTGAGTTCCGCAGTTGGGTCATCTTCTTCTTGGAGAATTTCTTCCGGTGCTTCTTTCTGGGTACTCTCCGACACGGAATGGGTTCGAAAGTGGATCAGTTTCGGGTGGCTGTGGAAGGGAAAAGTGGTGCATGGGATTCTGATGGGTTTGGATGGAGAAGTGAATTTAGAATGTTTGAAAGATGAGGTTCTTATTCTGGCGGGGTTGAAGCTCAGAGTAGCCATGGCTGTGATGTTGTTTCAGGCAGAGGTTTATGTGTGGTTGTTGAGGTAGTTATCCTGCCACATGTTTTCCTTAAGCCAACGATGATCTTATTCGAACATCATGGGCCGTCGGTAACGGCTCATTCATGGCATGTCTTCCTGCACCCCCATAAATTTTATATCTCCATTTTACCCTTATTAAAAATTTACTCAAAACCCTAGAATCTTTATTTCACATCGCCGGTGATGCAGAGTGTAATCGGAGCCATCTCCTTCCTCCAAGTCCCTGATCCTTTGTTCATTTGAATGGATTTGAGGAAGAGTGATTGAGTGGATTTGAAGATAAATTTTGTTGTTGTTTATTTGAGTGAATTTGAAGGTAAGTGAGAGTGAATTTGGAAGCAACGTTTGTGAGAATTAGTGTAGGATTTGATTGATGTGACAGATTAAAAAAATTTACTTCCAAATTCACTCTCACTTACCTCCAAATTCACTCTCACTTACCTCCAAATTCACTCAAATAAACAAGAAAAAATATTATTTTTTGTAACATCCCAAAAATACAATATAAAATCATATAAGAGAATAATCACATATTAATAATATTGCAAATCAGTCTTACAAAAGATAGGAAGTATAGTTATGGCCGAATGGCCTTACAAAATAGCATAGTTAAAATTGTACAATGGCTACAACTAGAACGAACGATTTACAAAATAAACTTATATCGAAGGCTCCTACAAAAGAAGAGACCAACAACTGACCGAACGTCCTAAGGTTCAGTCTTCACTTCCACCTCTTCCAGTGCTTCTTCCAGCAACTCTTCTCCTTCTGCTCACATCCACATGGATGATCATTGCAACAAGACAAACAATCAAACGTACAACACTGACTCTCGGTTACAGTTTACATAATTATGCAGAGTACAGAATGAGTCTCAGACAATATCCCTACCCATTTCATGGCTTTCATTAATCATCAATACTTTTAAACAACATACAATATTTCATCATCAACCAAATCATCAAACACAATATCATTCCAGTTTCTCATCTTTTAGATTCATATACTCATACAGACAACAATGAAGTAAAAACCATACTTCATATTCATTCAGCAATCAATCAACATGCAACCATTTAAAACAAGAATCTTAATCAAATTATATAAGCTTCCCTTACCTCTAATGTAGCCAAACGCTAAAAAATACAAAATAAAGATCACAACTACAAGAGACCTTAGCGTTCAACAGTCACACTTTAAGAAACTAAACCAAACAGAAGACCAAAAATATTTAGAATAAGACGATCCACTCATGCAACCAGAAATCTGGGTTTGCATGTGAAAGGAAACGAACATTCTAAGGAGAAAGTAACTCACCGACTTGAAACCACAACTGGATCGGTTTAAACGAAAGCCCTTGACGCCGGGAGAGTTCAAACGGTGCCTGAGTGGTGATCGGAAGAAGAAAAGGATGAGAATCCTTAGAGAGAAGGTGGATATGGTAGAGAGAAGGAGGAGATTCAGAAGGTTGAAGATAAAGGGTGCATGCAGAAAAGTGGCACGAAATTTGAAAGCTTAAGTTTTACTCCTACCGTCAAAATCGACCGTCCAATCTGCATCACACCTGTCTTCCACTTTCTGAATTTTAGACAACCTTTCGCTTACACATGTACTCCACTATGTTGGGGTTTTTATGGGTCTGACATTTTTAAATCCTCTCAAATCCACTCAATTACTTTTCCTCAAATGCATTCGAGTGAACAAAGCCTCCATCCATTCGAATCAAAACACCAAGTTGCCCCATAGCTCCTCACGCTACAACAACTTTGTCACCAGAATCGGGGATCTAGAGGCAAAGTCGGCATTCCATCTTGGTCGCATCACACAATTGTTGCCAATAGTGCCGCCGACGCCATCATTGCACAGGATTTTCCTTCTTCTTTCTCTCCAAATCGAGATCTTCTTTCATGCGCGAGTTCTTCTTCTTCCCTCACCACTCTGATCTTCTCTTCCTGTCTTCCTTAATTAAATTTCTCTTTATTTTATTAGCTTTTTAATAATATAGAATTACTTAATAAAACATTAAAAATTTGATAATAGTTAAGAAAGATATATAATATTAACCTAGTTATTCGTCTTAATAAGTATAAAAATATATATAATATTTGTACACACCAAATGTAAGAACCTAGAAAATAGAGTATTAGAGTAGATAGGTGTATTAAAATAATGAGACAAGCAAGTTACTTTAAAATAATCTTATAATATAAATAAAACTTTCTAAAGCTCGGTTCATTATCTAAAACACTTATATCTCTCTAGAACCTTATTCACCTAGAGTTCTCTGCCTTCTCTCTATATTTTCTCTCATTTGGGGTGTCTGTTCGACGATCAGGAAGTGTCTAGGTGATCCTGGCGTTGAGGGCTACCAATCTGACCGATCAATTGGTTGAATCAAGTAGATAAGTGGTAAACCCCTTTCTTTGGTGTTTAGGGTTCTTGATCCTGTAGAGGAATTCTGTTTGCATGGATCAAGAGTCTCTCTTCTTCAATTCTTAACTCAATTTAGGTTCTAAGATTTCTCTCAAATCACCAATCGGTGAGTTATAGGTTTTTATAGAGTTTCCTTGTGGTGCAAGCATCGGTCGGGGTTCTCTAGAGCAGTGATGCGTTTCTCTAAGGTAAGGGGAGCTAGATTCTGTTCTTAAATTATTTGTATAACATGTGTATATGTTGAATTATATGTTATTCTACTGTTTGAAGCATAATTTGGGTTTTTAGAGTGGATTGAATTGTATGTATTAAAATGTCTAACTGTGAAACTAGGAATTTGTGAATTTACTCAATTGCTCAACTCTTCAACTTAATCATCAAACCACACAATCTAATTCAAGCACAAACACGTATTGAATTCAATCAACATACAAAAAACATCAGATTATCGAACTCACACACATTAAAACAACTAATTTCCTTACTTGAAAGACAAAAACAAATAGCTCGATGATCCTTACAACACCCTCGTATGCACAAGAAGCTTAATTTGTTTCATTGAACAACACAAACACAATGATGATACTTCATTAGGACCATTGATCAATAATGACTAGCAAAAAGACACAAATACTACATGCGAGCCAAAAAAAAGCCACATGGAGAGGAAGAAGAAACAAATCAAGGAATAAGAAACTAATTGATTGATCTTAATGAATTAATCGTAAAGAGAAATTACATCATCTCCAATATTCGAAAAGATGAATAGATAATAAAACATCTTAAAGAAAAAAAAACTTTAAGAAAAAAATTTAGGAAAGAATATATGTTTTTAAATAATAAAACTTATTTATAAAAAATCTATTTATATTTTAAATTTCTATTAGTAAAATAATTGAGTGTCACTCTTAAATATATTATCAATTATAAAACACGGTTACATGCTCTTACAATATATAAGAAGTTTTAACAAAGTACTTATAAAATAAAATTAATAAATCATGATCTGAAAAAATGGTTTCAAAATAAATGACAAACTTAATCAATTAAATTAAATATAAAAATTATATTAAAAAAATAAAAAAAAATATCATTAAAATATAATAAAAAATTTTAAAAAATGACAATAAAATTTCCAATTAAAGTCGTCATTCTTTTAATGATTTTACTTTTAAAAAAAAGTTGTCACTCCTATAACGATTTTAGTAAAAAAAAAAAAAAAAAGATTTTACATGAAGAAACTATAAAAAGAACCGAAGTTGTATTTCTCCATTACACTTCAAAGCTTTAATTTCGTATTGAACCCATTAGATAAATTAACTTAATTTTGTGTGTATAAAAATACCTTCGAGCATAAAGGGGGAAAAGTGGGGGCACAGCATATGAACTTTCGGATTTTCAATACTTTCGGAGAATATAGACTAATTTGTCTCCGAATTCTGCGACCTGTAGCTTCCACCACTTTTCGTCCTTATTCTACAGGTTATAAACCCTTATGTGCTTCCCTTAAAAGCTTCCTATTTCACATTCTTTTGGTCCGAAAGCTCTTTCGCTTGTACAGAATTGTTTGTTCCGATAATTTTATTTTTAATTATATTTTATAGTAGAAATTTTGTTCTGTTCCATGATTTTAAAAAAACAAAGTTTTTTGACCGAAGTTCTTATTGTTGTGGGTGATAGTATCATTGAGTAAAAACTACCATTTTTATTTTTTCGATGTAAGTTGTAATATTTAGTCACATAAGTTCTAATATCATTGTGGGGGGTAAATCATAGAGGAATTTGTGCTGATTCGAGTTGTTTTCTGCATTTTCTGAAGGGAAGAATCACTTAGAACAGCTGTGATGGTTGCAAATGACTATTTTCCTCCTTTGTTCAGGTGTGTAGCTGTGTATCTCTGTTTTCTGCATATGCCCTAGTGATATTTCATCAATCTGATTTATTGTTCGCTTGGATTTTCAGTGTGGCCCCAATGATGGACTGGACAGATCATCACTATAGGACTCTTGCACGTCTCTTGTCAAAGCACACTTGGCTCTACACGGAGATGCTTGCTGCTGAAACAATTGTTTATCAAAAGGGAAATCTGGTAAGCTTGTAAGCATATTTCTTCTTGTTGAAAGAAAAGGGTCAAAATAACTTGGGAGGAATGGCTATGAATAACAATTTCATTGTTGCAATTTGTCAAGGACCGGTTCTGCTAAAACCTTAAGCTTCTAGGTAGAGTGTTTTTTATTGTTAGTAAGCTCACAGCTCATGCTACAGTAACTAAATTGTATGGAGGGAGTGAAGAAGGTTTTACTTTTTGTGTATTCTATATACCTACTATTGTATTGATGATGTCAGTCACGAACATCAGTGATTATGCACAGTATTATGTGGATATATTCTGGTTCAGTTGTAGTTTATCTCACCTATTTATGTCATCAGAGATCTAGCACACTTTTCATGGAAGAATCCTTTTGGCTTGAAGTTTGGATTATGCATAGTCTAGTCATATCACATGCTGGAGCCTCCTAAAAGTTTAAACTTATAAGTAGAGACTATAGCTTTATATTTCTAACACAACTGCTATTGTGTTCATAGATATCTGTGGTGAAATGCTTCTCCGCTAGTCACTGCTGAGGTTTTTTTATTTTTATTTTGAAGTTTGTTAGATCTATAGGGATGTTTCCGTTAGTCTTATTGGATGTACGTGCTGTTGTTTCATATTATTTGAAAGGTTGAGAGAAACAATCTCTCTCAATAAAATTCAAAGTGCAGTTTTTGAATGAGTAACAGGTTGTTCTTCAACTTTGGGTTCATATATTTTTGTTAATTATCTCATTGCAGTAGGTATATCTGTGTGTGTGCAAAAAAGCACAAATTTGTGGGTGGGGCCATTTCTGGATAATTTTTCTCTGAAAAACTATTGATTCTTCTTGTCAATTTTGCTCAGGACAGATTCTTGGCATATTGTCCAGATCAACATCCTATTGTGCTTCAAATTGGTGGAAGTAATTTAGATAATTTGGCAAAAGCAACTGAACTGGCAAATGCGTATTGCTATGATGAGATCAACTTCAAGTTTGTTTATTTTCTTATCAGCTTAATTCATAATGTTTCATTTTTATATTACTATCTGGTAGATCTGATTTTTTTATTTTTGACTTATGCCAGCTGTGGATGCCCAAGTCCTAGAGTAGCTGGACGTGGATGCTTTGGTGCACGTCTTATGCTTGATCCAAAGGTAAGGACATCATCCATACTTGATGTGAAAGCATATTGAATATGTAGACTTTCTTAATATATACGCACTGATGTGGAACTCTAATGTTTACAAGGAAAGTTTGTTGCAGAGGCTATTTCATTGATTTTTGCCAATACAAATGTACCTGTTACTGTTAAATGTCGAATTGGTGTGGATGATCATGATTCCTACAATGAATTGTGTAAGGTCCTTTTTCATCAACATTCTTTGTCTATTCACAATTAAAAGATGAAAAATTCTTTTGTATTGTGTTCATACCCGTAGAGGAAGCTTGCAGGATTTAAAGATCATGGCACACCACACGCCTTGGCCATAGGGCTTGTAGTGGTATTTTCAAATGACCCACCACTACCATTAGTAATCACTGACAGGAATCCTAGTGAAATTTATTAAAATTCTCCTTCTGCCATGATCTTGTAGTTGCCCAGCATCTTCTTTGCTTGTTTATGCATAAGTGATCTGGATTCTATTTCTCATTATACCATAAGATGGTCTTTGATTTTGTCCTATAATTCTGCACAAGAAAGGATTTTGGTCACCCTTCTTTGGTTCTAAGAATGACATTGAGCTAGTCCTTTTCATCAATCTGCCTTCCATTGGTTGGTTAGTCTGCACAGGTAGGCTACACCCATCTCCATATAGAAATGTTTAGGAAGATGGATGGATAGCTCCTTGATGTTACCCCACCATTACTTTTCTTAGCAATACCCTCTTTTGTTTAATGCTGGAGGATTCTTATTGATTTGGTTAGTGAGCACAATCCACTCTTTTGGAGGATTCTTATTGATTCTATAGGGGTACAACTTGTCAACTTCAGTTTGGTCTGGACTACTTCCCATGGAAGAAAATATCCAAGGTACTTTGGTTCTGTGTTTGGTAAAAAAATTGTTTGGTTATCAAATTGCCTGCAGTAGTTCTTGACTACGTCTACTCATTCTTGATGTACATATCTGAGAGTTGGAATCTCCATATGCCAACCTTTTGAAATTCTGTCCAGTTCCCACCATTCGAAACAAAAATGCTTGACCATTCATTTCTATCATCGCCACCGGTAATCTTTCCCCATCAAACTTCCCCTTGAGCTCGAAATAACACTCCACATTTTGGACCCACCCCAAGTGTCCTCCAAAAATAGGGAATGTTGAGCTTTCTCCAAAAGTCTTTTCTCGCACCTATCCTTGGATCCAATTTGACACATCTCCTAATATTGTTCCTCATCCATTCCCTCCATTAAGCCCTCTTGCCACTTTGCATCTGCCAAATGTTAGTAGTTTCCTTGTCATGTTTGTTATATGCATCTATCAAGATGACAAACATGACTCCAACTTAGGTGTTTTACTTCCAAATCTATTTATCAAAGAAAAGTAAGATTTTGTCATTGTGGAAGAATTCACATCGATTAGAGATAAGACCAAATTATAATATATAAATAGACGCAAACCTTTCTTTACAAGCTAATCCTGTGAGGTTGAGTTAGGCTTAAATTCAATTTTCTTAAGATGGTATCAAACCTAGCAATGTGTTAGGCCTCATTTCACCTGCTATTGAGGGTTCCCTCTTAGTCTCAAGTTTGAGATGTCCTGTCCTTAGTGTGAAGGGGTGTGTTGAAGAGCCCACATCAATTAGAGATTAAGCCCAAATTATAGAATATAAGTGGGTGCAAATCTTACCTTACAAATTGGTTTTATAACATTGAGTTGTACTTAAAATTCACTTTCTTAAGAGTCATACTACTTTATGATTTTACTATTTTTATAACAAGGAAGCCCCTATTAGAATCTCAAGGTTGAATGGTTGTTATACCTTTTTTATTGTGTTTTGAGTTTGATTGCTAGTCAGTAAGATGGTCACATTTTGTGAAACAATTGTCCTCAAAGCAAATTGCTATGAATGTAATTTAGAAGCAATACTTTTATGTTAGGTCATGATATCTTTAAAATAATTGTGCAGTTGTTGTTGCGGTTACGTATTAACCTTTATACCATCACTTTTGTTGTCTTTCAGGTGATTTCATTTACAAGGTTTCTTCTCTATCACCTGCCAAGCATTTCATAATTCACTCAAGGAAGGCATTGCTTAAGGGCCTTAGCCCAGCTGAAAATCGGAGTATTCCTCCACTGAAGTATGTGCCAGAGTATTGAGATTTGATTTTTGTAGTCATTTAATATAGGATTGGAGATGATACACACTTTTTAATGCAGATATGAATACTTTTATGGCCTCTTACGAGACTTCCCTGACTTAACATTTACAATCAATGGGGGTATTACTAGTATTGATGAGGTGAGTTTTATCTAATTGTTCATTCTATTTCAATGGGTGCTGGTATTCATTATAGAGAAATTTTCTGCGATATATTATCATTCAAAATGCATCACTGTATTTAGAGTTCACATTTCTATGATGCATGGGCACTGACATTGTGCACAAATTTCTCAAAATTAAAGGACATGGCACCTGCACACACATATTGTTGGGCATGTGTTTGATATGAAAAATCATTAATTGACTTCTAAAAGTCAAGATAAGACTCCAAGGTAGAAGACCATTCTCCCAAGTGTATCAAACTGACAACTTTCATTTATGATTCAAAAGTTATTTACAAAGAGAGGGAGTGGCTATATATAGCCACTTAAGATAAGCTTGACCGAAAATTATAAAGAGAAATGAGAGGGAGATTTCAACAATCAAGGGTCAAGATCATCTCCATGCTTGTGTCTCATTCTCCACACTTATATCACTTTCCCTGTTTGAATCTCATTGACCTTACCATGTCTAGTCTTTGGCCAAACTTCACATGGGCCTATGATGGGCTTGAGTGGTTTCCACATGCTTGTTGCTTCCTTGCGTTCCTTTGGCTGCATCCGGTAGCTCCTTTTGAGCTTGATATGACCTAATAAAAGCTAAGTTAAAATTTCTATTTGCATATATTTTTTGAAAGAAAAACAAAGAATAAATTGTACAATTAGAGTCTAAGAAACTCCCAAAATAAAGAAACTACAACATTATTTGTGTGAGCAATAGTGTCTTTTCTTGTCATGCTTATAATTATCCTTTTTAGAATGATGCGTTTTTGCTCTTTTTCTTTATCCCCCATTCATGCACTCATCACACATTATGTACTTAGAGTGCAATAAACTAGACTTATTATAGTGTTTTAAATTATTACCTTATTTTCCCATTGTGTTGCTTGTTTATAAAAATTGAGAAAACTCTGGATCATTTTTATATTTTATATAAATGAATCTATCACTCTACTATGATAGTACACTAGAGCAAATTAATTTATGTTGGAGATCCAATATTGACTAGAAATATAACAAAATTATAATATATAAGTGGGTGCAAACTTTACTTTGTAACTTGATTTTGTGAGGTTTAGTTAACTCTAAAAGCCTACACTTTCTAAGGTGGTATCCGTTTGTTGGGTTTATTGTATCAGTTATTAGACCATCGATGAATCTGTGTTGTAGGAGTCGACCATAGTCAATATAGAATTCCATGTACAAAAGTCAATATTATATTGATCAAGCTATCATTTGGGTTCTTATGAGTTTGGTCTGCTTTTTTTGTGCTAACATTCTTGTAACTGGAATTTATAGTTTTGATATGTATGATGTTTAAGCTACCAAATAATTCTTTTCCTCCTTCCCAGTTTTTAAGATGCGTAAGTGTAGACATGAATGTAACGAGTCATTAGGCATTTTGTAGCTTTGAAATTGGTGTTCTAATTATAAGGTGCTTATTATTCTCATGCTTCTGTTTGTGAAATTCAACTCTAGGCCAATGGAGCTCTAAAGGCCGGGGCCCATGGTGTTATGGTTGGACGTGCTGCATACCATAAGTAAGTGTCAAATACAAATTATTCATCTATTGCCCCTTTTGCATATGTGAAATCTCAAAGCGTGGTGGGCCCATAACCCACATGTCCCAGGATTGGAACCTGACTCTAATATCATGTTAAATATAGTGAAAAACTATATATGAGATTAATCTTCATTGGGTTGAATATATAATTAGGGTCCTCTGTTTATAATAGAAAAAAAAATGGGTTAAGCACAAGATACAAATAAAAAGTAATAACAAATTAACTAAAGATAAAAGATAAATATAAAATAAAGATAATATATCTAACACTTTTAAACATTGGTAGTCTTTTATTTTAGTCTGCCTAGAAGTTTTATTCCCCGACGAAGGAAGGCACCTGACTGTCTGTTTTACAAATTTGCATTGAAGTTAATGCAATTGTTATCAGTGGAGATCTAATTCTAATGAAGTATGAGGAGTGACAGGAATATCTTTTGAGGAGTTGTGCAGTTCAGTTATCATGTAAAGAACCACTTATCCTAATTTCTAGATAGGTAGACATGTAGAAATGATTATTTCCAACAATGTTTTTTTCTGTTGCTTGAACTTTCTTGAAGCGGCTTATATAAATGGATACTTTGTTGCTTGAATAACCGTTGTCAATAATTTCAACAGCCCTTGGCATATTTTGGGACATGTTGATTCTGCAATTTATGGTGCACCAAGTAGTGATCTTACACGTCGTCAGGTCTAGTCACTGAAATTTTGAGTTAGAATGAATTAAGCTGATATTTTACTACGAATTGAGCATACTAATTTTTATTTTCATTGTTTTTCTTATTTCATAAAGGTTCTTGAGGAATATCAAGTATATGGGGACTCAGTATTAGGACAATATGGACTCGGCCCAACTGTCCGAGATATTGTGAAGGTGGTAACAGACAAATAATCCATTAGTTGATTGCAGAATTTCTAATATTAAGGAGAGTTTCTCTATAGTATTATATAAACTTATTTAACATAGGGGCATAATAAAACCATATTCTTTTATGTATATACATGGCTTGTAACTATAGTTATACCCACATGTTTTCTTGTTTTTTGATTTCTTGTCATGGTTTATAGCTTTGACTCAGTTATGGGTTCTGTTTCACATCGGGATTCGGGAGTTAAAAGACTAGACATGCACTGGAGGATTTTTTTTTCCCTTAACTCTTTCTTCCTCCTCCCATTCATTTGCATGAAGCAAGTTGTTATATTTTTTACCTTCACTTATAATTTGCTGTTACCGTATGAATGTCATGTTTGTTGCAGCCTTTGCTTGGTTTTTTCCATTCTGAGCCTGGGAATGGGCTTTGGAAGCGCAAAGCAGATTCAGCAGTCCAAACTTGCACGGTATAATTTACTATGAAAACCCTCATATTATTTGAGTGCTTAGACAATATTTTACTTTGTATTTAGATGAAGTTGTCAATGTCCAGGACAATGAAACTTCTTCAATCATCAAGCAAATCTTACATATTCTTCTTAATTTACTTTTGTTTTCCCTGCTTTCAGTTCATGGAAAGAAAAGATGCTGTTATGTGTTAATTATCTTATAATTTAGGAAGTAATTAGTTAGCTCATAGGTCATGTCTATATGCACGAGTCAACAAAACTGTTGAAGGAATAGGCAATAAATCTCTCACTCTTCTTTTCAACTTCCTTCTTATCCTTTTATATCCAAGGTGTACTTTTGTGTCATCTCACTAGTATCTTGTTGCATAGGGTTAAATCATATCTCTTCTTTGTGTACAGTAACTGACATGTTATTCTTCAGTCGTTGCATTCCTTCAAACACTAACTGATTTTTTAACCATGCAGACAATTAAATCATTTTTCGAAGAAACCCTTGTAGCAATTCCTGACTCAGTCTTGGATTCACCTATGGCGGAACCACAACATGGTCGTGGAGATCTCTTTGCTGACATACACAACTTGCTACCTCCACCATACACAACAAGACAAGAGAGTGTCATATAAATAAGTCGATCTGATATCTATTATAGGAAACTGACTCACATGTAACCCATTGGATGGAGAAACTTGTGAAAAACAGGGGACTGCAATTCTGCAATTCTTTGTGATTTGATTTGTTTACTAATGATTTTGATCAATTAGGTAATGTGTTAGCGTCATCACTTTAGATGAATGTTGGGTAGTTCATATCAACATGGCATTATTTGAGAAAAAAAAAAAGGACTTGGAAATGTTTTGCAATTGTTTCATGTAGCATCCTCGACTTCTAGGCCAATAACGCTTGTCGTTGTTTTTTTGAACCTGGAACTCGTAATTGCTACATGTATTATTCTAATTTTAAGTTTAAATATTAACTTAGTCTTTATTTTCGTTAAGTTTATTTAATTTAGTCTGAATATTTTTTTTTTGTCAATTTTATATTCAATTTAGTTGGTCTTGTTAATGTCATTTAGATAATTAGCTAATATTGACAAGTGTTTTTCACGTTCAGGTTGTGAACTTTTTAGCTTTTTATTTTTTTTTAGTTAAAAAAGTTTTTTTATAACTAAAATAGGTTTTTTATTTTTTTAATTAAAAAAAACATGTGTCGAAGTTAATATTTTATATTCAATTTTATTTTTATATTTTATATTTTTGTTCAATTTAATTTTAATTTCTTTTAAATAAAACTTTTTTTAATTGAGATCAAGTTAATATTTTATGTAATCGTTATATTGATAATTATATTAAAATTCTTTTTTTATTAAATATTTTTAGTTTAAGGTTAGAATTGGTTAAAATTAGAACAAAAATTTTAAAAATTAAAAATAACATAAGAGTTAAAAAATTACTTTTATTTTTAAAATTTAAGAGGTTAAAAGGTGATTTTTAAAATTTTAAGAGATTAAAAAATGGAAAGTAATACCATTATTTTATGTGATTTTTAACTTCTTAAAATTTTAAAAAATTACTAATAATAATAATAAATATGATAATGATATAAATAAATTTATATCTTAATTAAAATTAATAATATTAATAATAAAACCTAATAACAATAATAATATAAATACATTTATATGATGATAATAAAAATTAATAGTTAATAATAATATATGTTAAAAAGTAGACTTTAAGTCTAATTCAATCCCACAAAATCGGTTTGTAAGGTGAGGTTTATACCCACTTATATATTATAAATTGGTCTTATGTGAGACTTCCAATACACTCCCTCACGTCGAGGTATAGACATAATCTCGAGCGTGAGATTAAAAATTAACGGGTGGTCCGATAACTATCCGATAGCGAGTGGAACAACATATTCAATAAACAACAAATATGGCTAGGATAAGCTCTAACCATAGTTCTGATACCATGTTAAATAAATTTAAGTCTAAGATAATTTAACGATAAGGGTCACATTACTTCAATTTTCAAAATTCAGAATCCAACTGAAACAAAAATTGAGAAACAGATTTGAGACTTCCAACAAAAAATGAAAACCTCTTGAATGATTAAACCTATACTTTAAAATGATGAGAATATGACATTGATTTTTTAATATAACTCCTTCCATTTTAAATTTCTCTAAATTATATACGATCTCATGCATTGTATTTATGTTAACATGATTGAGAAAGTCATCATATTTGATATTACACTATAAATATTTTATACGAGAGAGATATGTGGAGAAACATGAATCAGAGGCAATCGATTTCAGATGTATAGGAATTGGGATAAAAAGGTAGTTATTGATTAGAAGAAAGAAGTAAAAAGAATAAAAAGAAGATGTTCTATTTATGGCAACAACATTGGTGTTTAATACATTTACAAAACATATCGATGGAAAACCAATCTTGCGGACAAATCACTGGATGCTTTGGCACCTTCCCACTATTCTTAATTTCATTTCCTGAACACAAAACCAAAGCAACCATCGTAACTGCCACGAACACTATTTTTACCTTCATCATCTTCAAACCCTTTCTACAAAAATATTTTTTTTCTTTTCTAATTTATAGAAGATCTTGCAATACCTGTGACACACAGACACTGACGAGGGCGGGGAGTGGTCGCTGGTACAAGAGGCACGAAGTGCAAGGGACACAAACAAGGAGCACAAACAAGGAGCGGCTCCTGGCAGGATTCCATTGGAAAGGACACATGGATGAATCGAACATACACCGGAATGAGAGGGATCTAGAGACGGTATACAGTTGAATGATAGCTTAAAAGGATTGATTTGGCTACTTATATCACCAAGATGCATTTGCTTTTTTGCAGGTTAAGCGTGCTTAGCCTAGAGTAATTTGGGGATGGATGACCTTCTAGGAATTTTTCCTATAAAGTGTGCGAGTGAGGATTATTTATGTTTAAAACTGATAAACATTTAATAATTGAAGGTGACACTATTAACATCTTCAATTTATTACCACCAGTTTCAATTTTAAACTTATTAAATGTTTTGATTTTAAATTAAAGGTGACAATAAGTAATTGAAGCAGCAATAATGTAATTTAATGATAAATCTCCTACTACAAAATTATCAATAGACTTTTAATAGATAATATTTTTAGGCATTTTCTGTTGGAACGCTATAACCTTTAAATAAAAAAAATCTACCGCACTTATTTGAAAAAATATTTTCTATTAGGTCATCAATAGACCGTGTTTTTTTAAATAAACATAATCTATTTATTCAATTTTTTTTAATAATTTATTTAATTTTTCAATAGACAATACTTGTTTAAAAAAACATTGTCTATTAGTTTAATTTTTTTTATGATTTATTTAATTTTTTAATAGACCACATTTTTTCAAAAGAATTGGTTGTGTTGTAGTACGAAAGACGATATATAGTGATAGTGATTGGTGGTGATGCATGATTTATCTGGATAAGAGTTTAAATTAACAATATGTTTTGTGTTGTGAAATGAATTGATGTTACGAGCTTATACATTATTAGATAATAGTATTATATTAGTTATATAATTATATGTGTTTTTTTTAGTGTTGATGTTGTTGGCTCGCCCTGCATGTGTGTGGTGATGGTTTCCACCTGGGATGATCATATTTATATGGAAACAGATGATGTTACAAAAAATATTGCTAATGTTGATGCGATGTAGATGGAGAGACGAGTGAGAAATTATTTTCAAAATTTTCAAACATTATTTTTTTTAATAAGTTATGTTGAAAATTTTCAATACAATATTTTAAGTTGTATTGAGATTGTTTATTATTTTCACAAATTTTAATTAATTTTACGATAATATAAAGAAGTTTTTAAATATTTCACTATATTATAATCATTTCATAATTGTATTTTAGTTAAACATGACATTTAAATAGGAGTGTTTCTTTATTAGAATAATTTATACATATACTTTTGAACACTCTAATGCACAAACATTATTCAATTTCTCATTAATCTATCTAATTTGATTACCAATTAAGCATATTATACTGGAGAACCACCTAGTCAGCTAAAGGACCGGGCAACTAACCGTCTAGCAAGAAAATGATTGACCTGTCTGGAAATTAATCTGAGCAATCAATGAAACGTTAATGAAAATAATTGTCATTTATTATCAATTAACAAGAATAATGTCATTTATCGATGATTAATGAGTCAGACCTAATGGTAAGCTCATTATAATAATTTATAAATATTTGTCTGGCCGTAGTTAATAAACTCTAATTACTAATCTTTATTATAAGATTATTACGCAAAGTCACTAACTTGAGCGTCAGAGAGACAATAGCACAATTGGATGATGGAGTGGATAACCCTGAATGTTTTTTGTTAGGGATCTCAACCCTTCCGAAACACATATGATATAGTATTTTTTTGATAAGTTTATATAAATTTTAAGTATATTATGATTTGACACTAACTAAAATAATAATTATAAAATTAAGACAAAATATCATCTACAAGATTACAAAGAATATATGGTCTAATGAAACTTAACACTACTAAACCCTCTTGATAATCTTTATATTAATTAAACCCATGAAACTCAAACAATGTGTTAATATTTGACAAAACTTGAATTTTTTCATAAAGTGTTAATAAACGTTCCCTAAATAATATAATTGATATATGTGAATTCACGTGTGACCAAAATGCATAAATGTGTATGCCTTTGATGATATATACGAAGACGAACTAAGTGGAAGTTTTATAAATTGTCCACATTTAAATTTAAATGAATTATCATAAAGTGGTGGTTTTGTGATTGATTTCTTAGAAATGTTGGTATGAATATATTGGATACATGAAGAGAGAGATTATAAAGTTATTATTGATAGATAAAAGTTGATATTATAAGAGAAAAGTAAAAAGTTCTATCTCTCACAACAACATAGGTGGTGAATACATTTACAAGTAGCAGCAGGTAGTTGTCTAATACAGTCTAACTTATTTGCACAAGCTGCTCTAATGGAAACAAAATCCGATGGGCAAATGAATGGTCCCTTTGGCGACCTCACATCAGTTCTCAGACTTTCATTTCCTGAACACAAAACCAAAGCCATCATCATAAATCCCACCAACACTATCTTCACTTTCATCATCTTCATTTCCATTCTCCAAATATCTTCTTTTCTTTTCTTTTTCTTTTCTAATTCTCTATCACATAATGCAATACCAACAAAACCCTATTTATACTCTCTCCAACTCAAAACCTATTCAATGTTTAATAAAATCTTCTATTTTTTACCAATTTCTACTAATATTCAAATTTATACCGTTATATGGTCAAAGTTTTCTCCAACTCATTCAAAATATTTTATTTCATCTTTTCGTTATTTTCAATATTAAAACAAAATCGTTATATATTTTATTTAGTGTAAAATATTAATACGTTTTACCGTAACTTTATAACGAATACCGTATATAAATCTTGAACGTTGTATAGAACGTGAACGTTAAGTCTTCACATTAATTATTTTCTAAGTTCGGCATATTTTGTCATTTGTATTATTATTTTACACCTAATATTTGACCAGTCTATATGTTTAATTATGACGTAGAAAGAAAAGGATAAAATTATATTTTTATAAATAACTTGTTAGAATGAAAATTAATATTGTATATTTTAGTTTAAAAAACCGATATACAATATGTAAAACTGAAAAGACAAAAGTAGAAAATTTTGTTTAAAAATAAAAGGATATAATTATCTAAACTCAATAATATTTATCTTTATTTGCATGTTAAATAATATTTTAAACTCATCATTTAAGTTGAAATATATCAAATAGTATAAATAATTTTAGGGTTAAATATGTTTTTAGTCCCTAAACTATTGACCGTTTTTGGTTTTCGTCCCGTACAATTTAGTCCTCAATCTTTAAAAAA